AGAGAGAGAGAGAGAAAGAGAGAGGGAATAAGCACCCCCTAATGGGGTGTGGTCGCTTCTCTATCTCTTCTCCTCCACTTCTTTAACCTCTCAGGATGTGGGGCATGCATGCAAGCACACAGGCCTGGCATGTTTTTCAAGCTGTGGAGTCTGGGACTCCAACTGTGCGGTTGGCCATGTGCAATCCGGCTCCCTCAAGCATTAGGCCAGAGGACCAGCCCTCCAAAATGCACCTTTTAAAAGTTTTAAACTCAGGCTGGCAGTTCAAATCCCATCCCTAGAGGCTGGAAAAACACACCAAGAGCATTGTGTGTGTGCCCCAAATCCTGACAGAATGGAGAAGTGGAGGAGAAGGGATTGCAGTGGGACCATGCCCCACTGGGAGGTGTTTTGTCCCTCTCCCTATCTCTCTACCTTTCTCTCTCTGTCCGGTGAGTACACGTACCTTCTGGCAAATAAGAAAAAAAAAAATTAAGTCTTTTGCAATGGGTCATAAATCTAAGCTAACATATAGTGATAGTTACATGGTACTTTCCATATATTTCAAAGAATTCTAAAGAACAGCCCAGTACAAGTGTTAAATGTTATGGGATACATTATCACAATAGGTGGTGTACATAGCCTACAGAAAGCATTGTTTTATCAGATCAAGTCTAGCTGTGTAGTGATCATCCTGCCTCAGCCTCCCCACAGGGACTACAGGTGTGTGCTGTTGCGTGCAGCTCTTCTTTTAGATAGGGTCTCACTATGTTCCCTAGGTTCATTTTAAGCCACCCCACCCCCGACCCCCACCACCCCCTAGTTGCTGAGATTGCAGACACACACCTCTGTCCTCCTGCCATTAAGTTAAACAGGAAATTGAACCCTAGCCTCTCATTTGGTGCAGGTATGCAGAACACAGAGTCTGGGCAGCTCACACCACTGCAGCTGGACCCTATGAAGTACCTTTAACTTAGATACTGAATATGCCATACTGAGTGAGTCCATAATGAATGTATCTACGACAGCAACTTCTCTTTTCCTTTTTTTTAAAAAATATTTATTTATTTAATTCCACTTGTTATTATTTTTTATTTATTTTTTGAGAGACTTTTGCTATAGGGCGTGTGCGCTCACCAGACAGACAGAGAGAGACATAGAGACAGAAAGCAAGAAATCACCTCCCAGGGGGGGATGGTCATGCCACAATCCCTTCTCCATTCTCCTCTCGGGATCTTGGGCACGCATGCACATGCGCCCAGCGTGAGTTTTAAGCCGCCGGGTCCCGGACACGAACTGCAGTTGACTACATGGGAGTCTAGCGACATAGCCATTACGCTAACTGCTGGTTCCCTGTTATTATTTTTTATTTGAGCAGAGAGAGACAGAGCGAAAGGGGAAGTGAGGAAGCAAGCTGCCAGAGAGAGAGAGTGAGTCAGAAAGCAAGCTGCAGACCCAGGACTTGAACCATAGTCAGTCATGTGGGAGTGTCCAGCGCCTTAGCCACCATGCCACCTGCTGGTCCCTACTTTTCTTTTCTTTCTAAGATTTTTTTATTTAATTAATTCCATTTGTTATTACTATTATTTTTTATTTGACCAGAGAGATAAAGGGAAAGTGCAAAAGCAAGCTGTCAGGGCTGGGACTTGAACCATGGTCAATCATGTGGGAATCCAGCCCCTTAATCACCATGCCACCTCCTGGCCCCAACAGTAATTCTTCAAAAGTAACTTGTTGTGGCTGAATTCAGAACTCAAGTTTTGGTTGTTTTTTTTTTTTTTTCCTTTAGAGAGAAAGTTTTGCTATATGGCACATGTGCTCACTGGAGACAGAGAGAGAAAATGAGAAATCATCCCCCCCCCCCCCCTTCCAACCTACGATGAGATGGCCACACCACAGTCCCTTCTTCTCCATTCTCCTCTCAGGAATTTGGTTATGTACACACTCACGGTCAGTGTGAGTTTCAATCTACCTGATATGAGACTTGAACCCCGGTCAGCCACGTGGGAGTCCAGACCACACCACCTGCTAGCCCTGGCACTTCTAATTATCCACTAGTTAGGCAGAATAGAGGCAGAAGAGAAAGTATTACTCTGTTAACGTGCTTCAGCTCAGCCCTAAAGGGACTGTCTCCAGGATTGGAAAAGAAGACTAAGTCTACAGAAAACGGTAACCTCTTACTCAGGAAGACTATGAGGATTTCATGTATAGAGCTGCTGTTTGCCAGGAGGTATTTACCTTTCTCCAAATTCCATTTACTGAGTTGGTTTCCTCCTTTCTCCTGAGGTAAGCTACACAGTAAATATACACATTGATTACTGCCATGTTGCATACATCTTCTTTGTATAAGTGCCATATATGATCAGCCTTTAATCTGCAGTGATAAAAGAGTTGGTCATAAAAATAAGGGTGAAGACTCTGAAGTCCGAGGTCCTGGGTTCAAATCCTGCTTCTGCCTTAGCAGTAGAGTAACCTAGACTTAATCTCGGTTCTTTATTCAGAAAGTGGGGCAAAGACAATAATAAAATATACTTCAGCATTTCCTATCTCATTTCATAAGCATCTGCATCAAAATCTCTCTGAAATGCCCATGAAATGTGGATGGAGCTTTAACTGGCCTTTGGACCAATCTGTGGATGGATTTTCCTTCCAATGAAAGATAAAGGACTGTGTTTTTCTCTGAAGGCAAATATTTTACACTCAGTACTGACTCTCAAGTAGTTCTTGGGGCTATACAATCCTAGGTGGAGTCCAAGACTCCAAATCAGCTAGTCAGCTTCTCCACCTTCACACAGTTGTGCCATCCTGCTCAGGTCTGGTCACTGAAGGCCAGATGCTGTTTCCTGTCTCAGGTGAGGATTTTCTTATTCTTTCAACTATTGATAGATCGTTAACTTTCAGAGGAAAGGGTCTAGAAGTCTTATAGGTCCTTCGATTCTTTTTTTAAAAATTTTAAATGATTATTTTGACTTTATTTATTTATTTAATTTAATTTTGACCAGAGAAGCACAGAGAGAGAGAGAGGGAAAGTGAGAAAGCAAGCTGCCAGGTCTGAGACACGAACCGGGGTCGGTCATGTGGAAGTCCAGCCTCCCTATCCACCATACCACCTGCTGGTCCTGGTCCTTGTATTCTTTAAAGCACTATGTATAACATAATGCATTGAAAATAGCATTCTAAGCAATGCATGTTTGCAGCTTGATTATTTTTAAAATGAACTATGGAATGTTTGTAACAAAACAGGTTTCAAGTGAAGAATCCTTTATACCCCTTCAAAATGGGCTAATAAAAACTCTAGGAATACCCTGTTTGGACACTAATCTAATGATACTTATTTTCCTTTTATTTTTTTTCTTTTCTTTATCCTCTTTTTTTTTTTTTAAATCTTTAAACATTTTTTTCTCTGCTTCCATGTCAACAATGCTAGTTAAAAATAGTTTTATTTGGTTTTTATCAGATTTGCAATTGTAGGAAATGTTCATTAAAGGTAAGGGTTTTTTTGTTTTTTTTTTTTTCTTTTTTGGTTATTTAGGTGACGAGGTGATTAAGGCTCTGGGTCCCACTGTACAGTTCAAGTCCCAGACTGGCGCCTTAAAAACTGTGTGTGGATGTATGTCCAAAATCCTGAGAGGAGGATGGAGGAGAAGGGATTGTGTTGTCATCATCCCCTCTGGAGGATGATTTCTTAATTTCTTCTGTCTCTCTGACTCTGATGAGAGCATGTGTTTTATAGCAAATAAATAAATAAATAAAGTAAAGTTTCCAAGGTCCAGCCTTGTGGCACAGTGGTAATAAGCTGGTCAAGAGAAGCTAGATCCCAGATGGGGACTGTAGTTCTAATCCTGGCCCAATCATCCTGAAACATTCTGGGTATTGTACCCGGGACTTAATAGACTGGAGAACTGGAGGGAGGATATCTCCGTGTAACCAGAACCTGTGGAGGGTCCTTCACGGTACACATTTTCCTTCTCGCCACATATCCATCAGAAATGACTGCTAAGATTTCAATTTTCTAGGTTGTTTTCTTTATTTATATTTTCAATGCATACACTAACATTTATTATTATTTCATAGAAACATGGTTATACTAATCTGGAACTTGCTTTTTCTTTTTCATTTAACAATGCATTGTGAATGCCTTTCCATGTCAACACATACCTTCTTCCTTTTTAGTGCCACATAGTACAGAAGTTTCTTGTTATCCAACTATTCATTATCATTATCAAAATCGCAATCGTAGCTAAGTTGTGTCGGGCAG